ACTTTCGGGTTCAAAATTGATCAGAAAATATGCCGAATATTTGATGGTGAAAATGTCCAGCGAGGACTCACGTGATTGGTGGATAGCCGACCAATCATATTTTGATCTATATCTACGTCCCGCGATATCCTCTTTCAAATGATGAAAACTGCAGGTCTCCATCACTTTTCCTTCAAAAGTTATATGCATTCTCCCGGAACGCCTTTTTTTCAAAAATGGATATTAGTTCATAATCTGTACAATTACTTTACTGTCACTGTGATAATTGATTCTCGATATTCGTATGGAGAGAAAAGTTATAGGTTAAGAAAGTCATAAGCGCAGAATCAGATCGAGGCAAGTGATCTCACAAGATCGATTATATTTAAAGTTTTTCATGTTTTTCTATCGAAATAATTTCCTTTTGTGAGGGTGTGCTTCTTGTCTTCTTGAACAACCAGGGTGTGGGTGTGGGTGTGGGTGTGGATCTGAGGTGCAGATGAAAAGATTAATACTCACACTGACATCCACACTCACACTCACACCCACAATCTAGTAAATGTAGAGCTAAAAGATGATTTCTAATGAATGAGTGTTTTTATTTTTAACGAACCTAATCATAACTTGATGGTATTATTCTCAAATCAATTTACTACAGGAGTTATTGTTTTAGTAAACTGGTCCAAGAAATATAAAAATTTAGCAAGTTATTTTTTTTCAATTCTAATTCTGATAAAATTTCAAATTTACTAGAAGAATCTGCATGGCATGCTGCATGTTTTCAAATGTCTTTCAAAATTGTTGAAGAAAAATCTCGAGTTAAACAGGAGAAGAGATATAAAAAAATCTTTCTCACTGGTAGATGGTATCCTTTACTTGGAAGCCTTCTATAAACATTTTGATTGTTTAGCTTAAAAAAGTTTCATTTTAATTCAGAATTAAGCTTTACATCTAACATTGTAACACAAAAGCCTTTTGATGAAGCAAGGCTTAGTTTGAAAGCATAGAATAAAACATTTTATATGACTTAATAGTAAGTTGTTAGCTTCTAATACCAATCTTGAAAGCTTCAGACTTGTGTTAACTAATGGACTTCTTAAAACAAAATAGAAAATCACAATGAGACGAGTGAGTAGAAGCTAACTTTTCTAATCTTTGATTGATTAACAATTATACTTATTTGAACAAATTAAACTGACAATGCTGTGAATGGAAAAATTTCCTATCGGATGAAATCTCAAAATCGTGAATAGGTTCGAGAAAAAATTGAAAATGAAAGTATCTCATTTTTTATAAGCTATCCGTTGCATATAAGCATTTACTTTTTAACGTCTTGTTTAACATATATATATGAAAACATTTTTATATAACTCCTCGTTAATAGTATACCTCGCATCTTCCTTAATATCAAAGCGTACACCAAGTTTTCCGGTGGAGGAGATCTTATATTGTGTTTCATTTAATT